AACCATTCTCCACAAAATCAGAAGCAAAATCAACACAAAATCCTGTCTTTGTATTTCTGTATCAAGATCAACAGCATAAGCCACCCACCACTGTGTCTCTGTGTCTCTGTGTCTCTGTGTTTCTGTATTAGGAACCAACCCTCCTCTATGCAGCTCAGAAAATCATTATGTAATCCCAAGAAATTTCAAGCAGTGGTACTGTTTCAGATTCTTTTACCTGTACAATCTCAGTAGCAGAACCCTATGATTTACACTTCAAACCTTCAAAGGTCTGTCCCAAACAGGTTGAACTTGAAACACTGACAAAATGAAATCGGAGAAGAGGATGAAAGAAGATCACAGTTTGCAACTAAGGCATTGAGCGATTTACTAATCCGGATGAAAATGTGATCAACTGAGCGATTTCACTTCAAATCGGATAAAGTGATGTCCGATTTAGATAAAAATCGGTCAAAGAAGTATGCGATTTAGCCTAAACTGGAGAAGCAGTGAGCGATTTAGGAGAAACCGATCAAAGTCTGCAATTTCGTGCGATGAAGACAGGCGACTTACCTCATGTCCAGATGGTGTGCGATTAACCTCAAACCGGTCAAACTTAGAACAAATAGAGACAAATCTAACAAGAATGAATGACTACAGCCAGCGATTTTGTTGAATCTTTGATGAGCGATTTAGAGAAAAACAGTTGATCGATTTACATTAAATCCGCTCAAGCCAGTGAGCGATTTAGAATAACAGAACGAGCGATGCCTGAGCGATTTAGTAAACCGGTGAAACCGTGAGTGATTTACTGACCGATTTAGTAAATCGGATGAAGGTTGTATTAAGCGATGAAGATGAAACAGGTTTATGAGCGATGAAAAGGGATGATAGAGAGAGAAAAATGGGCCAAAAACATATGGGCCTTGAGCGATTTAGAGAGTGAGATCACGCCAAAAACAAAACTTTGAAAGATTTAAAAATTGAGATTCGATCAAAAAATGACAAAAACACAAAAACAACTTTTCACTTAAAAAAAGATCAAAACTGACTTTTTGATGAAATTTGTCAAGAACATGAAAAGAATTTCAAAACACAAATTTGATCAAATCTTCAAAATAAGTCATCAAAACCTGAAATTTTGTGAATAACAAAGATTCACAATGTAAAACCGTACGCACCGATCACTATTTTAACACACAAACAGAGGATTTTGAAAGATTTTCGGATCAAATTAAAAAAGAAATTAAGAACACGAAAAACACACATAAAGATTCCAGAAAATTTTTACAAAAAAATCTTCAAAAAGAGATGATTCCTTCTATTGATTTCTTGCACTCTAGCTCTGATACCAATTGTTGTTCCACTTTAATCAATCTTCAATCTTTTAATAACAATCCATGGCAGATTCTTGATTTGAACATTCAAAAAAACAATGAGAGAGTTGAGAGAAAAGGTCAAACTTCTAATCTTGGTCAAACTCTTATCACGTAATCTGATTTTACAAATAAGCTCTCTTCTAAAATTACAAAGACTTACCATTTATATAGGGTCAAACTATGTAAGCTTAGTCAAAGTCAAACTAACTATTACAAAGTCAAACACGATGTCTATTTTAATTATAGATAATATTTATCTTTTAAGACGAATACAATTTAATATCGATTTTCAGTCCTAACAATGTTAATATCAAATCAACTTGTGATAACCGGGTTCAGGTTATTACCCAATGTATTTATTATGTGAATTAATTGTTTATGTGGATACATGCTTACATGGGTTAAAATGCGTAAGTATGTGTATTTCATATATGGGATATATGCATAATATATATACGTGTTATATATATATATATATATATATATATATATATAAAATATGAAATAATATGTAAAAGTGTTTATATGCCTAGACACGCATGGGTGATTTTGGTTATGTGCATGCATTGGGGGGGGGGGGGGGGAAGTAGCCGACTTTCCAAATTTGGAAAGTATAAGTAGAGGCTTTGTATGAAGAAACAAGTTTTTTGCTTGTTTTGGAAATTTTGAGAGCTATCTAAGTAAAGTGTTGCCCGGATATTCAAAGGGGGTTTTGCAATCTTCTTCAAAATCAAAGTAAAATTGCATAAAGTGAGTATTTTCTACAAATATCTTTCAAAAATTTAGTTATTGATCTTGAAAGAACTGTATTACATCCTCAAAATTTAGTTTTGTGCAATTTGGGTTTAAACCGATTGAGGGGTGACCGGATCATCTTAAACCGGACATAGTGTTGTCCGGATTGTTTCTAAACCGGACACGTGTTGTCCGATTTAGTTATAAATCGCTCAAAGGTCGTGCAATTTAGGGAGTTAGTGAGATTTAAATTATGTAAACCGGACAAAGGTTTTGAACGGAGAAGTAGGAATACGACTAAGCATTGTGCGGTTTAGTCTTAAATCGCTCAAAGGTCGTGCGGACTAGTGATAAATCAGACAAGTATCTTGTCCGGATTGATAAATCGAACAAAGGATTTGACTGGATAGTTGACCGGATTACTTGTCCGGATAACTTATCCGGACGTTTCTTGAATGAAAACTTCAAGTGATGGGCCTTCTTGGAAGTTTATAATTTGGTAAATTATTATTGGGTTAAGTTATGTTATTGTAAAAGAGGTATTTTATATTTTTTTAAATAAAAGGTATGTTCCTACCAAGCGTGGTGATATAAATCTGTCTTGGTCTAGAATGAGATTTTTGGGAAATGTTTCTATCAATCGTGGTGACTTAAGTCTGTTTTGGTATGAAATTATATTTTGGGAAACCTTCCTATCAAGCGTGGTGACATAAGTCTGTTTTGGTATGAAATTGGATTTTGTAAACTGTTTCTACCAAGCGTGGTGACGTAAGTCTGTTTTGGTACGAAACTTATTTTAAGAGGTAGTTCCCCCAGACGTGGTGACTTTTGTCTGTTCTGGYTTGGAACTGGGAATGGGTACTTTCAGACGTGGTGACTTTTGTCTGTTCTGATAAGTAGCCCTGTTTTGATGGAGGAATAAAGGTGACATATCAAGGAAATGTGTACTTGGAATAAGGGAGGCATTGTCATATGTGGATATTATTATTATAACTCTTATTATTGTTACTAATTGGATTTAATAACTTTGAGTCATCATTTCTTTGTGATCTGATGAATTAAAGATATTATTCCTATTAGAAATAATAATTTAGACATTATTGAGAAGGGGAAAATGGTTTGTCATAAAATGCAAATATTGCTTTAAATCTTTCAGTTAAAATTTACAAAGAAATGGTCTGATTATTCAAAAAAGCTTTGGTTACAATATTTGTTTCATATTGGAAACGTTGGATCTTTAAGCAGATGTATTTTATTAATATAACTGAGGTTCTTGAGTTTATCCTATTATACATGTCATAGAGGACTACATTATTTTGTATTACAAATATTCCTGAGCAAAGATATTTTATTATATTTTGGTGTTTATCACCCTGCATTTGCAAAGAAGAGTTTCACTCACTAGACCATTCTGGTGTAACCCTTATTTTCTGTTTTACAAATATGCGGTGCAGGAACTGCGGGTTCTAGGGATAATAAGGGGAAAGGAAAAATGTGATTATTTTCCTAACCTGATATCTATTTTTTAAGATCTGCATAAGATTGCTTATTTTTGAAGATACATGTTGTATTACATGTGTTAATACAAGATTTTTTTTGGAATGTTTCATATATATATTTTGTACATATAAGAATCCTTGTACTAGTGGGACCATGTGATGTAAATTATGTTTCTATGTAATGAAATATGTGTTATATGCAAATGTGGTGTTTGGGGGGTGTTACACAACTATTTAAGAGTTATAATTTTTTATGTAATTTCTTTTATTTTTTTTATTATAATTTAATTTAAGTTTAATAATAAAATAATTTATTTTTGGTTTAATATTATAAATTTTATAAATATAATAATCAAGTATTCTGTTAGAATTCAGTGATTATTCTAATTATATTTTAGATTTTTTATATTTAAAATAAGATGTTTATCTTGTATTTGATTATGTTTATCTACAGTTAGTTACACGAATTCAGATATGGAGCTTTAATAAGTTGTACTTACGCACAATTTACTTGCAATCTTGAGTTTTAAGTAATATGCATTAATAAACA